GAAGTGTGACTACCATGGTAAAGTTTGGATTGTTTCACGCTGTCAGTGCAGAGCAAGAGATGTTCCAAGAACAAATAAGCACCTAAAGTTATAAGGGACAATTATGATAAAATGTTTCAAAGAGTTTCTAAAACAGTTTTTATAAAGGGGATGGAAATTTTAAAAAGTAAGCTTAGCTGTGTTGACACAAAGGACAGTGAAGTTGATGGCCTGAATCATTTTTTATACTTTCATGTAGATTTGTGGTATTACCTTTAATTCATGCACATGGAAATTAATTTCCAACAATCACCTCAACTCTTAAAAAAACGAAGCAACTTTTTTTCAAATATCAGCGAATACTATATGGAAGAATGACACATCAAGTAACTTCTAAAAAGGTATAGAATGAAAACATTAATCCTTTCAGAAAACATTTAGGATACGTGAAATCATTATTTTAACTGTCTTAACAGATTTGAACAAATACCATGGGAAAAAAAAAAAAAAAAAAACTAAACAGAATAAGGCTGCATAGCCACGTACATTTTAACGCTCAAGCATTTTCTGAAATACATGTATGATCGTTAGCTATCCCTCACTAGTCCCTGTGTAATGGAATAGAAAAAACATATCATGGAGAGGATAGTTACAGTTTAAATAGACTCAGTTATCTTTGATCAAAAATAAATTAACCTGCAAATATTGACTACTTTACTGCAACTTTCACTGTTCCACAACTTGATGTGCTACATCCCAAAGATGGAAGGGATTAGGATGCAACTAATGAGGCAAGAATCAGTGCTGGTATCAGGCAGACAAAATGTGTGTATACAAATAGCACAGACACATACACAAATACATATATACACACACATAGACACACATGTAAGACAGCAATTAACAGGACTTTAATACCTATGCATAAGGAATTGCAAAACTGCACAAACCAGTCAGTAACTTTTAGCACTGAAAGCTGCTTGAAAATTTAAGCATATAATTAACCTCCCAGCTCACAGCCTTCCAGCCCAAGGAGCAGTCCATTGAATTTTTTCTACAAGTTATGAACAAGCCAAGGAATTTACATCACAGTCAGAGGATTCTTTTGCTGAATTAACCCCATCTCCCTCTGACCCTAAGAAGCCATAAACCAACAGGATACAGCAGAGGGAGAATGTGCTATAGTGTTTCAGCTGACCTACAGAGAGCTGTCTCTGTCATTCCAAGGCTGGAAATTGAGATGATGAATTACAGAGCAAAATGCTAGGTTCAGATGCAAACATCAACCACTTCCCTCCACACATGCACATGCAGACATGTTCACTCACCCCAAACCATCTCAGTTTCTGCAAAAGGCCAAGTACTGTTAGGGCTCATTTACAGAGTCTTATTCTAAGATAAAAGAGGGAAGAAAATTGCTTATTGAAGAAGCATGCATCCATCTGTGATTAACAGTATTTAGGAACGCGTGCTGCGTATTGAATAAAAGCTTGGTTTTTTGTACATAGATTATTAAGTATGACAAAAGTACAAGTCCAAAGCAGAATGAGCAGGATTCCAAGAAACTTAGCTCGAACAGCCCTATAAAAAAAAAATAAAAAAAAATAAAAAAAAATACACAACTCTTTTTAAAAGACTTCTGCCTAGTTTCATTTGGTAAACACAGAACAAAGCCTCTTATATAAAGTAGCTAATAAAGTCTAGCTGACCACATGCACAGCAAATGCGATAATACAAATATCTGCAGTAGGACCTCAAAACTAATCTCTAAGACATGAAGCTCTTTGCAGTCTTTACACTTAGAATGTGCTGTTCAGCTGCACTGAGAACTTATCCCCAGACTTATTTACAAATAATCTCTTGCAAATGGACAGTGGCTGACTCACTTCTAACTAAGAATGAAAAGTGATTCTTTGAAGTCTGGCTGAAAAAAGGAGTCCACAGTTTTGAATTCAGTAATTTAAAATCAATAATTTTAACAGATACCAAGAGTATGAGGTACTCAACACAGCGACATTTCAAAACCAAATATTCCCCTAAATTTAACAAGTTCGTGGCTCTCTTCTGGTGAAATGAAGACTTTTCTGAAAAAGCCTGACAAGTTGTCAACGATTTTCACAATATTGATAACTTTATTACTAAAAGCCTTCAAATGAGTACTTTCTTTGTACTGTTTCCAGATAATATTAATTTCTTTTACCAACTATCCTGACATTCTTTTGAAATGATGCAAAATATCCTTCAGAAAGCTGTGCTTCACTCCGATCCCCTGAATACAGCACAGTTTTCTCACACCAAAGCAAACTGTCTGCATACAAAGCAAATTATCTGCATACATTATGATCTCAAACAAGTTAGCTGAAGTCTTCAGCCACAAGACAAGTCAAAACCTCTCCTTCTGAAGTGAAACACAAATCTATGGAGGCATTTTCTCACTAAACTTAGTATGAAGTACTGCACTGTATAACTTACTGATTACTATTTTTTTAACCACTGGGAAGTCAAAACTTAGAGGCAATTTCCTCCTGCTCCCTTTTTTCCTCCTTTCATCATAATTACCATGAAATGATCAGGAGCTGTATGAGAATGACATCACAATACATATATGTGAAAATGCGTATCAGTTTTAGAGTGAAGGATGCAAATAAAAAATCCCTCTAACAAAAATCCCATTGACATCAATATAGGAACTGGACTGGAAGAGGAAAGGATCAGTTGCAGGTCGTTATAAATTAATTCAGCAAGATATTTTCTTTAATTTGTAGTTCTCTTTAAAAGTGGTACTTTAAGCTTTTTATATAGGGGACTTGAAAGTTTTCCTCATTTTTATCTGCAGTGAGATTCTTCATGAGGTACTATCACATTGAATGGATATTCCACTAACTGAAACATGCACCATCACCTGACACAGAATTTCCTCCCACCATATTTAATCCACAAAGATAATAAAAAACGTCCGTGCCTTTCAACTTCTCCAAAGTTTAAAATGTCACTGTTTACAGCTTCTGGTATAATAGTGGTTAGAAGTGTTGCAAGCCTCTGTCCCCAAGATTAGAGTTCTCCAGTGTGATGTTTCATTAAACTCACCTTAGCATAACTCCAAATTTTGGAAAAATCTGCTTGAGAGCAGCGAAACATTAAATGCAACTGGTAGGAGAATATGTGTGAAAAGCATTTTCACTTGGACATTTATAAAACTTTTCCCGAGATCTATCTGCACTATCAGCTTGTAAAACTAGAGCCTCTCTACTGTGCAAACTGATGTGTAACATGCACAGTACACAGAAACTGTACCTAAGGTTTCAGAAAAGGACCTATGAAATGAGAAAGAAAACAAAACAAAACAAAAAAATATATAAGTTCTAATTTCCATGGAAGTCTAGTACGTAAAAACAAGAAAATTAAAGGCTAATGGTTTGCTCATGAGATGGCAAGAAACATCCATAAATAAAGTAACAAAATAATCCTCAAACAAACAAACAAACAAAAAGCAAAACAAAACAAACAAACAAAAAAACTCAGATAATTGGAATTGAGGCAGTTGTGATCCTAGAAATCTGGACTGATGGGCAGAGTGACTACCAGCGCTATCAGATTGCTTCCTTTCACTCCTGAAAACGTGGTTCTTTAATGTATACAGCCCAAGTGAGTAAGTGGCTGGTCCTTCTGATTGCACAGTACCCAAGAATTCTCTCAGTTCTCATATCATATGCTGCATGAATGGTATTTTGTGTTTTCATGTTTGTTTTTCTTCTCTTTCCTCTTCTGTGCATCTTGAGGAAGTCAAAAAAAATAAAAAAAAAAGAACAAATAACAGCTTATGTGATAGAAGACAGAAAAGACACAACATGAAGGGAGGACTTTGAAAGAGGTCGCGGAAGTGCAGTTCTAGAAGAAAGAACAAGCATAAGGAAGAGGAATAGACAGAAGAGAGAACTGTTGCACAGTGGTTCTGTCTTATCAGCTTTGACTTTCAGGGTCTTTTGTGTCTATGATTACATTATACACTAACCACCTGAGCTTATATGCAGGCTCATAAGTATGTTTTATAAAGTCTTCATGAGTGAAAAATGTTCCTAGCATGAAATTTAGCAAAGATGAAGAGGTAACTATTAAACTGAAGTTTAGTCTTTTAAATTGACTACAGGATCACAAAATTTGTTAGTGGTAGTCAAATCCAAAATCATAAAATACATCAAACTAATAAAAACCTGTAATCCCAACAGGTGGTCCTGATACACTGAAGTGATTAATACTTATGACAAAAATCACATGAAGCTGAGTTATTAGAAACACCAATTCTGTCATTTTCCTGCAAACCAAATATGCTTATACGAAGTAAATGGAATGTCACAGAAAGACTACTTGTTAATAGATGCTTTGGCTGCGAAAAGCAAATCTACACAATTTTATGTTGGAAACAAATTATCACAAAGCGGCTCCTTTCATTTGCCTGCCAATTATATGAAATGAAAACATAAGCTCAGAAAGTGAAACCTATGTAAATGACACGACTAATTTGTTTTCAGTGTGCTTACAGAAGCACATAAGGAAACAGCAGCACAATCTGGGTGACAATATAAAACAAGTTACATAACTCAAACTTAGGAATACTAACAGAACAGCAGAATGATTCAGATGTTGCAACTGAAAATAAATTTGGAGCTAAAGTGTTCTAAAAGTAAAACATTCTGATTTGGCTAACATGTAGGCTGTAATAAAGTCAGAAGATACAATAACTTGAGTCTGGAGTTTCAAAACACCTCAGAAGTCATAGAAATGAATGAATTCACACTGAATGTTCATATAAATAAACACATATATGTGTATATATAATCACAGTTCAAAACAGAACCTGGTTTTACACATTATGCAAGCAAAATGTCTGAAAAAAAGGCTATTGGGCCTACCTATAAATATCTGTTTCTAGATAAGCTAAGCATTTCTAGACAAACTTACAGATATCTTGGTATTCAATTTAGATATTTTTTTCCAGTTCCTTATAGTAAGTATCACTGTACCTGTATGGCTTCGAATATGAACTCTCAGTGTTCCATTGCTTGCAAATTTCTGTCCACAATATGGGCAAATTTTTTCTTTTTCGCCTGTGTGAGTCTACATGAAGTGACGAAAGATGAGAATGAAAGTTACAGCATTGCCTTCAATTAGTAGAATATGGAACAGTTTAACTGTATTTCACATTGACCACTATTCTCTCCAACAACCATTAGTCATGTCATTCCATCATATCAGATAGAGATTTAAAGAAATTAGAATGTTCTTTTTATTTTCTTCTTAAATTTCTAAACTAATCTCATTATTAATATATAAAAAATGTTTTCATAGTTCATAAGTTTACAATTTCCTCAATAGTTATAACAAATTTCTAATTCATCCTCGTATATTTTCATCATTAAAATAATAAACCCATTTTTCAGATTAATTTCTCTGATAGCAGTTTATAAACTAGAAAACAGAAACTTGATCACCTAAATAAAATTAACTGAAATGGGACTATTTATAAAAGCTTGTAATTTCTCTGAATTTTACTTCATTATTAAACGTAGTTCAGAGTTTTGCCAAATGTAGTACAGCTTTTTCCACTGACAACTTGAACAGGAGCTTCAAAAAGTCTCTATGGAGATTTGTGTAAATGATTTGTGACACTTTCATACGAATGAATCACAGACATCAGTTCATCTGAAACATGATAGACAGCAATGCTCCAAAGTGCAAGTTCTCATTGATTTCAGTCAATACACACTGCATATTGGATCCTGTCTGGTTTATAATAAATGCTAGAATCAGACTATATTTACAGAACTAATCATAAGAAGGATATTGTGCTTGTCACTAAATAAGCTAATAAAAAAGCTCATAAACTGAGCCTGTCTTTTCAAATCAACCTTTTAGGGCTAAACTGCCTTTTATAAAAAGAATTATTTCAAATTCCCCCATCCACTTTCTACAGTCAAAAGCAAGACCACCTTCAAGTAAGTTATATGCAAAGATTCTCCTTACTTTTTATGCAATACTTCCCAATTCTAAATTGAAGATTTATCAGCCTATTGAATAATTTCTCCTTATAGTCATGACAGCTTTTTAGAGGGTTTTTAATGACCTTCTCATAGAAAGAATATATATACATATTTTTTTATTTAACAAAAGTAACTGATACAAAGTTCTTCATTAGATTATAAAACGCTTCTTTCACATCGTACATGTTATTGCTGCAGTTGAAGGAAGATTTATACAAAGATAAGCATTAGTTCCCACATCTATAAGATACGGTAAAGTTGGAGAGGCAAGTCAAGACTCCTCTACATTTTACCCTCAATTCTGAAAACAGATTGGTGGAATAATGCATAGTATTTGTCTTAATCGTGCACTGAAAATAACGTACTAGTTACTCCATTACACTTAAGGCCATGGAAGGAATAAGTATGAAATAATTGATTTTACTCACTTTTTTATGACTTTTCAGGACTGAAGGTGTCACAAAAGCTTTGTCACAGAGATCGCACTTGTATTTCTTATGTCCATCATGTACAACTTGAATATGAACATTTAAGGTGTCCTTTCTTTTGAAAGTAGCATCACAGTGATCACACTTGAAGGTCCTCTCACCTTATGAAGAAGAAAATCAGGTTTGAACATACTAGCTTTCTGTGTAAGTACATTAATGCTTATCATTTCATAAAATTAATGGAATTGAAGAGCTTCATCCTGAGAACAGAAAGATAATCTCAAATCAGGTAAAAATACCATAGAGAAATTAAGAAAGTAGAAAGTAGCTCTGACAATAAGATAGCCACAAATGTGAGATTAAGTATAGCTAAGGATGAAATGGCTATGAGTGAAAAGGAACATGGTTTTATTCTCCAGCACCTCCAGTAATAAACTGTATGAAAAAAAAATAAATAGACTTCATTTGAAACTTAAATGGTAAGAAAGATCTTTCTGAATACAGAGGAATTCTCAAAATAAGAAATACTTGCTTCTCATTCATGTCAATATAAACAAACTCACATAAAAAAGATGAAAAATGCTATAGCCATGTTACTGTTCAAACTGTAAGGTTAAGATTATGACAGAAAGTTAATATTATTTTGTAAATTAAATACCTCTGAGAAAGGAAGAATTAAAGAATTAAAGATTAAATTATCTGCAATGTGGCACACATTCAGAAATCAATGTGCTTAGGGTTATAACCAGAGTAACAGTCTAAACTTGAAATTGGCTTTTTATATCCCAAAAAACTTGCCAGGCAGCAATTCTAATACAAAAAAAAAAAAAGACAACCGTAATCTCAGGACTGTTGCTCGCTTCTTACTTTTCAAGACAGAGCTCTGACTTGCAGCCTCCAGATCCGAGTAAGACACAGACTTGCATATGCATTAACTAATTTTTCCAGTAGCGATGATATATGGCGAAAGATAACTTATTTTCTTGATACAGATCCACAAATCCTAAAATAATCACAGTTCTAGTCCAAAATGAATGCAAACTGATATCAGTATGCTGCATATTAAAGCCCATCTGATCCTGCATGTTGAAGCATTCAAAAACATTATTTCTTTATCACAGTTTATAGATGTAATACCTATAAGTAAGGCTTACCAACATACTTTGGTAACAAAAGCAGTTTTGTCTTTGATGACACTGAAATATGCTAAAAGATGCTAGAATAAGTTGTCTCGCCCTAAAGTACTTGCAGTCTAGCAATCCAGAAAAATTTTTAAGGTCAACAGAGATAGAATTTAATATGCTGCTATGTGGAGGATTAACACTTCTAAGTTTCTAGTGAACCTCTTCAGTTCTCGTCTTGGAAATATGAAACTACTTTGCAAACGAAGTGAAGTCATTACTATTTTTACTAAATAACATTAAATTTTTTAGTGCTTTAACAAAAGAAAATATTGAAGTAATTTCCATTAAAGGAAATCACGTCTTATCTGCCAGAGGGTAGAAAGGCATTACAGAGGAAGCTAGATAGCAATGGGCCAAAGTAAACCAAATGAGTTTCAATAAGGCCAAATGTCTTGTCCTGCATTTTGGCCACAACAACACCAGGCAACTCTACGGGCTTGGGGAGGAGTGGCTGGAAAGCTGCCTGATAGAAATGGACCTTGGTGGACAGTCGGCTGAGTATGAGCCAGCAGTGTGCCCACATGGTCAAGAAGGCCAATGGTATCCTGGCTTGTATCAGAAATGGTGTGGTGAGCAGGACTAGGGAAGTCATCCTCCCCTGTACTTGGCATTGGTGTCTTCCTCCAATTACTGCAGGAGATGGTTCTCTCTCTCTCTCTCTTTCTCTCTCTCTCTCTCTCCATTCTTCTTTAATTCTAGAATTAAAGTTCTACTGGATCAAAAAATGTAAGTTTATTTTTTTTTAATTCAACCAATGTAAATATTCCTCAAATCAAAGCACTGTCTTCTATGCTACCAGGATTTTAGATCAGTAATATTTTTTTTAAATTTCAATTACTAACGCTAACATGGCTGAATGGTCATTCAGAGCTCTGTAAATATTGAGAAAATTCCATAAAAAATAAATCTGCACACAACAGTACAGTACAGAATGCCATGAACACATTAGTCAAAATGGAAAATGGCCACAGAATTTTTTCTGGGCTGCTAGTTCTACAGTATTGGCAGGAAACACTAGCATATAGTGAAGTCGGGACTGGCACAGGAGAGACAATTTCAATTTCAAGCTCTGAAATGGATCACCTACAAAAGCTGAGTAAGATACCTACTTATATTTGCTCCCAATTTCCATTTCTTAAAATGAAGGATACTAACACATTTAACGCAGAAGAAAATCTTATAATCAGATCTCAAACCACGGTCAGTTTTCCACAGTGCATTTGTATTTAAGTGCATTCAAAGGCAAGGTTTGAATTTGCTCTGAATTTTCTAATTCCTAGTGAATAGAGTTGAATTTTAAGTCTCATTTAATATAGCAAGTTGTGTATTGGAACAAGGTGCTAGGGGTCTATTTTTTCTCTGTCAGACAAGAGAACTGCTCTTTTTTCCTCTGTGACTTAGCACTTACTGTTATGAATTAGTAGATGTCTTTGTAGAGAGAATGGAGTTCGGAACAAAGCTTTGCATTCCTCACACTGGAATGGTCTCTCTTCAGAATGGGTCTGCAGATGAAAGACAACATGTCAGAAGAAAGGCTCAGAGAAATCAATTAGCTGTCATTACAGTAATTATACTTAATTTTCCAAACTGAATTCAGGAGGGGGATATATTAACAATTTGAAATATCAGGGGACAGAAAATTAAAACAATCTTTACGCCATTATTCTGAACCCTAAAAGCCAGCAAAGCTGCCTCTGAATTAATGTACCACCTCAGAAATGTTGTATGTAAATAGAAATAAAATTAAGGAATAACCAGAAGTAAAACTTTAAAGTTCAGTTTCATTTCTGTATCAGAACTAATATTGACCTTAAATATTTTCTAACGTGAAAAAACATATAAAAATACATGTACACAAAACCCTGCATTTTTTTCACTTAACAGTAGAACTGATCTATCTCAGGAAAGTAGTCTAAAATTTAGCAAAAATTTCTTAAATCATATGACTACTCTTGCTTATCTTTATTTCGGCTTCATGTTTAAAAAGAAATAAAAAGCGCACAGAAGCATCAGAATTGATTTTTGTTTGCTGTAGTAAAAATATACCATAGCTAAGAAGCAGCATCAATAGACTTCAAAAAGAGATAAGTAGAAATAGCCTTCAAAGCCATAAATAAAAGAAAAGGCTAAGATTGGACGAATCTCACAAACAGCAGAGTTGCTGAAGCACATTTCTTTTCTGGAGCTTGGGAAACATCCAGCTTCAACCTACTGTTGTAAATTTTCCTTTTCCACTCCTTATTTCCCTGGTTCTATCCCCTTAGTAAGTTCAGATAGTAAATTCATCTGTACAATCTCTTATCTACTTAATTTCCTACAATTTTTCGTTAAGGGAATAATGTTTTTAAAGCATCCATGTCTGAACATTGTTTTAGCTAACAAGAACCTTGAGGGTGCCAAGGGCAAATGGGGATGGATAGTGTTTTATAATATGCATGATATTAAACAAATTCATTTTGTAGGTTAAGAGTAAATATTGATGTAATACATATGTACATTATGCATTTCTGCTTATGGCAGAAAAATTCGTAATACCATAAGACATATGGAGATATCCTTTAAAATAAGGAGAAAAAAGGACTATGAGAAGCCAGCACAAATATTTAGATGTAGACTCCTGGCCTCAAACTCAGACTGATTTTAACACAAATGTCCTCTCACGTAAACAGAAGTAGAAAAACATTAGAGTACTTGCAATGTTATACAGAGGTTTTAGACTCAAAGTAAATTACTTGAGTCCAGTCGATGTTACTTAAAACAAAAAATCAAGTGGAGCACTGTCAAATGTGTAGAATATATTATGCATTATAAAAAATATGCTGAAAGTTTCAGTCCAGCTCTTGGAGGTTTACATCACAATCTGCATTAGTTGATACCCTGATTGGCAGTCTCAGCGGTCAGACCAAGGATTGACAGGGCATGAAGAGACTGAACTACCTTCTCACCTCAACAGGTGGTTCCTCCAGAACAGGGTTGAGACATATTGACGAGACACTGTGGGGAAGCTCGCAGTGCTGATGTCTGTGCTGTACCTGTTCTGTGGATAAATAGAAGGGTTCAGTCTCTAGGGCTGTCAATCTGGCACCTTTCACGAGCGCAAAGTTCATGTCATTTACTTAAAAAATGCCCTATTTTAGAACACTCACCACTTGAGTGATAGTTCTGAAGAGTGCAGTCATTTGTATATAAATTCTTAGCATTCTCTTGCCAGTTCTAGTCTTTTGACCAAAATAAAAGAATTCATCCATATTTCTGAACTTCAAATGTTTAACTAGTCATACCCACAAACAAGGTGAAACTCATTTGCTCTACTTATGACCAGTCCAGAAACAAGCTACATATATCACAAAAAGCAATGAAAATCTTAATGAGCAGAGGTATATCAGCAAACAAGCATATTAATTCTGATACTATCCACCTTTTTCCTACTGACAGGTTCCAGAAAAGAGATGGCTTCCAGTAAGAGTATGGTGGGAAAAATTCAGGAGCCAGGAGTTAGACTCGATGATCCTTGCATGGTTCCCTTCCAACTCAAGATATTCTATGATTCTATGTTCAAGGCAAATCTTGAGATGCGTAACACCACAGCTCTTCACTCTTCATTCAGTTATGCAAGTTTGCGATCAACTATAGAAACTACAAGGTGGGCTAAGTATACTTCTCAAGCTTACATTAGATCTCAAAATACAGCTAACAATTTCACTAAAAGCTGCTTGAAGAGTCATCATACACTAAATATATACATATAATTTTCTATATAATAGGATATGTATATATCTGGGAAGCAGGCATACAGTGCACACACAGATTAGCTTGGGTCTAAGCTACATAATTAATATGTACATAGCAATACAAAGCAATAGACTAGTCCACACTTACACAATTATATATGTGATTTTATTTTCAGAAAAGGGCCCTACTAGCAGCTTGTAAAATGCAGTAGATTGATCTGGCTTTGAATACAAAAAAGACTGTTCTCATATAAGAAGTATTCTAGTATGGTCTTCCACTCAAATAAGATTTGCTAAAGTCTACAGCATCAGAATTCATAAAGGAAGGTGGTCATACTAAACAATCTGAGTTGAACTCTCATTTTATGACCTGATTCAGAGCGGAATATAAGCAGTACATGTTGCCAGTATTGCACTTAGTTTCAGTAACTTGATGTTCTACAACTGAAAACCAACTTTAGACAGTTTTCAAAACTGTCTAAAGCTTTTACTGTAAATCAGTAGCAAGCTGAGTCTTGCAATGAATTAAATGTTTGGATGCAGTACTGCAACTCTTTATAATCATAGTGTGATGGGAAAGATTATATCTACACCACAAAAATACCATTATCTTCTGCTACTATTTCATCAGACCTTTCAATTAAGCTGGGGAAAGGAAAATAAAGCACAAAACAAAAATTGATGCATCTCCTTTACAGCAGGTCCAAATTGTTGAATAAATCTTTTCACTGTTAAAATACCAGCAGGACTATGAACAACAGTATAAAGCCAAAAAAGAAAACAACATTAATTTACACATTTCCCTCTACTTGAATATTCATTAGGCAGAAGAAAAAAATAATTTTTGAATTCCACTTAAATACTTGAAAGTAGAGTAATGATTTCTTTTTAAATTTCCTTGTTTTCTCTTGGACAGTGATTACAGTATTTTGAAAGGTATAGAAATTGTAGTTGCTGGATTATGCTCACTCGGAAACAGTGCAGACACTGACATCTATCATGAGAAACTGTACTAAACTAAGAGGTCATGTGCACTTTTTGGACAGTTGTATGATCGAAGTAACTATGAATGGGTTGTTATGGAATATCTCATGGCAGCCTTTTCTATAATAGCATCTGTAAAAGTTTAAACCCAGCCCAAGGCTACCCATTCCCAATAGAGAAGATGAGGGAGTGCAATTGTTTCAATTCATCATGCACCCCAAGAACAAATAACCTTGGATTAACAGTAAACCCTTTAAAATCCCGTGTCTGGTGACATACTTCTTCTCACTGTCATAGCTCATATTTTATTCTCTGAATTCATTCTCTATACATAGCAAAGGAGCAGATGGAAGAAGAACTTAGCATTGTCCTGTACAGAAGTAACCTGAATTATACGGCATAGAAGATGTACCTTCATTCAGCCTGACCTGGATGAAAAATGACTCTATCTGTAACACAATGCCCATCTCCTAATTTCAGCTATTATTTTATAATGCTATTTATACTATTATTTCCAGAAAAAATGAAATAATTTTCTTCCCATGTTCACTCAGACATTTAGTCTGAGCTTTTTCAAAATACATCTGAACTAGTTCCACCCTGCATAACAATTCTCAGCACTGACATCTTCAAGCAAGTGACAAAGCAAACTTGCACATGCACCTACACAGAGCAGTGTAGTACTTGTCTGCAGCAACAGTACACCGGAGAAATACCACAAGGGCAATAACAGTTCCTGCCTCTCAGATCCACACCTGCAAGGCTGCAATGAGTACCAAGTTAGGGTTTACATTTCAGTGCTCTACTGAAAGAGTAGATGCTCTCATAGCTAACTCACTGTCTATCCTCCAGCAAGATCCTATGAAATGCAAGGACCTAATCTCCTCTGCACTTTGAGAGAGATTTAAAAATACATGTTGTGAGAGCCAAATTTCATTTTGATTCTGATACTTCCAAAGTAAAAAAAAATCAAATTAAATAGCTTCCATAAAGGAGTAGCAAACAACAGCAACAAGTTTCCACCTCAAACAACAAGAATTCAAAGGTACAAAATGTATATCCTGTTTCTTATTATGAATAAAATATAAAAAACAATGTAATATCTTAAGAGATCTTACAAGTGTGATGCTATCAAACTTGAAAATTTGTCTTCTGTCAAACACTGTTGATTTAACTGTTTTTAACTACAATACCCACCATTCCTACTGCAAAGTTCCCTGTTACCAACACAGTCACTGTATTCTGAAAGTAGTCTAATTATTCAGTCTGATTTTTTCTTCCTCCAAAAGAAAAAAAAACAGAGTGTGGGCTTAAAGGAATACTCATCTAAAGATTCATTAAAAACCTGAGTAGGAGAAATACATGGAAGAAAGATAATCAATAAAGAATTAAATTTCTGCTCTTACTCATTCGACTTATCTGTGACCAAGCAACAGAACTCTTGTTCTCTACCCCTTGCAGTAGTATAGCCCTCCCAAAATCACGGCACTTTAAACTGTTTTTGCATCTCAAACTCCACATACTTGACTTGCACCTTAAGCTTTATTTGTGTGTATATATATATACATACATATATACATAATGTCCTCCATTATCTACTATCTCTCCTTGATTACTTTGTTAAAGGTAATCTGGGGACTGAAAACGGGAGAGCCAGATTAGCCCAAATCTAGGTGCCTAGTTATGCTAGTTGATATCTTTAAAATCTTGATACTGAGTGTAGAGATAGGCGTTTCAGAAAAGCATTTCAGGAAATCTACATCCATCTCCCATCTCTCAGGCTCCTCTCTTTGTTTAGCAAGCACAATCAAAGAACTAATTGTGGATGGGTGAATATGCACAGCTGTTTGGGTATATAAACGCAGGTAAAAGTTTCTTTCAGGGTTGATTCACAGCCAGTACCATGGGCAGATAGGTTCAGGAAATAAGTATTCCAACATGCTTTGAAGAATTCTGTCAAAATTGGGTACTTGCTACATTTGTATAAATTTTACTATTTCTTCCATTAAGTGAAGCCTCTAATCCTTGTCAGACACAAGAACCAATTCTGCAACATTCTCGTATGCAGTCCTTGCTTATATTAGTGGTGAAGCTGTTTTGAATACTGAACTGGGTCAAAATGTTTGCTCATTATTCACACTTAAGCCTGAAGTCTGTTCTCAGCCAAAATTCTGTATCAGTCATCAACTGCAAATTAACCTAAGGAAATATGTTACAAGCATTCATTGAAGATATAGCACTATCTTTCCAGATAATATTCTATGTATTTCCTTAGAACATATCCAATTTGTGAGACTCTGCCACATTTTATTAATAACTCTAAAACAAGATAGCATATACCATGGCATATATGGGAGCTAATCTTGTCTTTCAGCAGATTTCTCCATGCTTTCTCTTTTAGACCATCATCACCATTTCACCCTATGAGAGGCATTATTATTATTCTTACATGATTTATGGCTGAAAGTGCAAAAGATGGTGTAAAGATCCTGTGCCAAAATCCCAGATGGAATACAACATGAGCCAAACTGAAAAATACTTCTAAGTAAGGGTATATCAGTTTCAGCAAGAGGGGTAAAAAAAAGTGGGAGTGTAAAAAATATAAAAATAAAAATAGTGCCAAATACTGGGCATAAAACTAGAGGGGTTTTTTCTGTCTATTAATTCTGAAACAGCAGTCATGGATACAGACTTGCCATTAAAAACGTAAGTTTGAGTTAAAATTAATGGCAGGCACTATGAAAATTTGGTCAAATAGTCCAACAGTGAGGAATGATTACAACAAGACTAAAATTTGTTTTGTTCAAATACTATCTTTTTTTTCTTTAATTTAAAATTGAAGACATTTTAGATTAGATAAAAATTTAATTTGATATCTTAATGTAAAAATAAAAATACTGGGAAAGTCAAAATGGAAAAGTATTTAATGCTTTTAACCAAGCAACTGTGATTTCCCTCTAATTTCCCTTTTTTTGTTTGCTTGTTTTGCTTTATCTGGAACTCATATCTTATCTTGAGATTTTGGTTATAACAACATTCACTGGAATATATATATATATTATATATATATATAAATATATATATATATATATATATATACATTTTTCAATACTTTACTCCCATGTTTATAAGCATGCCAGAGCTTAATGATCAACATTTTAAAAGAAAAAAATCTGCAAATCTGAGGCTGGCAGATCTGTAAACAACAACAGCAGAGTGCTTTACCTTCTTGTGATTCTTGTAAACATTTCTGTGGGCAAATCCCTTTCCACAAAGCTTGCATTTATAAGGTTTATCTTCACTGTGTATTATTTTGTGTGCAGTCACTTGATCAAGTCGTTTGAAGGACTTATTGCAAACCTCGCAGGTGTAGGGGCGTTTTTCTGCAGAAAATGAGTGGGGGACATTTAATCTCCTGTTTATACAGGGGGAGAAGATGAAAGGCAGAGACAGTCATCTCCTCAGAGAGATTTCTGCAATTAAGTCAACCCAATTAAGATTAAACCAATTAGAAAGACATCTAATGCCCTTTATGTTAGACAGTTAAGTCACTTCACAAAAGATGAGCCATGGTGTATCTAAAGAAATTGGCACATTCTTTGCAATAATCATTGCTAAAACTAAATTCTGATTAATTAGCTTAAATCAAAAGAGAATGACTTCAAAGAGGAAAACACTGTTTCCAGATTAGAAATGTGAAGGAGGGCATGACAGTTTTTAAATGTTTTAAAACTTAATTAACAATATACATATTAGCTTCCAAAACTAAAAGTTGCTATGCAAAAAGCCTTTGTGTTTCAACTGGTGACTGCAACTTAACTACATTAACACTCATCCAAAAGTGTCAAAAGCAAGCTAAGAGCCCTGAAATATAGATTACGTTATGAGAAATGAACTTTTGGTGTGGACTGATACAAAAAATATATATATTTATTTACAAGCCTGTGCAGCTGCAAAAACCTGCATTTTTAAATGTCAATGTATGAGACAACAATGCCTGTGTTTCCATTGTGTCAGCTGATGTTTCTAACCACTGATGAAAGAAATAGAAACACTAGATTTGCAGTGATCAGAAATTCTGGCAGAGCCAGTTTGTGTCCTGCTGCCAAGCTTATGAACAGGGAACTCCCTGCTCACAGTGATCTGTTCTGGCAGAGGAGGACAGGCATAATGAGGTACTTGTGTCATCTACAAAATGGTGTGGGGAATGATACATTTTCCTCTGAATGATAATTCTGTGCACATGAGCCCACATATATATATATATATATATATATATACGCATATCTGCCCTTTTATCACAGATCTCCGGCTGACAGCATAACCCAGCTCCCATCCTCTTTTTTTTTTAACATAAAATCCCACTCAGCAGTTCTTCACAGCCTCTATACGCCAAGCAACAATCTTTTTCCCCATCCCAGGTAGTTGAAATCACGTACCCCAGATAGCACGAAATAGAATCTTGACAAAGCAGCAATAGAAGAAAGTATACAGCATTACACTTGGAATTTTGAAAGGCTTACAAACAATAACTTAGATGTTTTCCTTGGAACATGAGATTTGCTTGAACAGCCCAGGACAACATAGAATTCGCCAAACATTCTATTTCTAAGTGATTAATGTAAAACTGAATATATGCTAAATATATCACCCACACATACATAGGTTTGTGTCTTTTTAATATGTTACCTGAATGAGTTATCATATGGCGTTTTAGCTGGTTAGCTGAAATAAATCTCTTGTCACATTCCTGACACTCAAAGGTCTCATGAACCTGAAAAATGAGTGTTTAATGATAATTAAATACCTGTCTCAAACAAGATCACATATCTTACATACATCTAAGTTCTCCAACAGACTGTGACTATTTCTAATTCACTAGTTACACTAATACGCAGGGATATTCTGTGATTTTCCCTTTGTTAGTCCCCTAAGGAACAAAATCTCTCAAAATTAATATTCAGAACTAGGAACAAAAAAATCCCTGAAACAATATTCAGAAACAAAGACTATGCAAAATCACGATATTGGATCCATTTAAAATATCATTAATGTGAAAGAATAAAACAACAGATGCAGAATATCTTTTCAGAATATTTCCTTGTAATGAACTAAACATAAGTAAAAATAACACAATAACTACTTACTAACTACCATAATAGTTTTAAAATACAAGTACAATCAAACTCTATTAGGACTTATCTCTACTTGTAATCTCATTAAATACAGGTGTGGTTTAAAAATGACTGCACTTCGTCAAATTGCTTAGAGACACTTCTGTTGAGAATTTAACAGTTCTTAGATTCACTCAGCACAGTGCATTTCCACTTCCATAACATGTACACATAATGCATGCACAAAAGATATACACAGACATAGCTAGCAATCATCTACCCTTTTTGTTGGCAATATGTGCTGTCTGCTCAAGAACATGGCAAAAATCAAGCTCTTTAAGGAAAAACAAAAACAAAACAAACAAACAAACAAACAAAAACTAAAGTAACCACACAGGCAAAATAAATTATTTTTCACTCTTTCTTATTTAATCTGGGGGAGCTGAAGCAACTCCTGCAGCACTCTTTACAACACCAAAGTCTCTTCTAAGTTGAGGCAAAAGGTGATACTGTTTGTCTTAAGAGCTTTAAGGGCAAAACAGTGGAGGGGCAGCAGTAGTTCTTAAGTTGTAAACATAGTAAGCCTGAGCAGGATTTCAACATCACAGCACCTACTGTCATCAAGGACTACATGCTGGAAAAAAAGTTAGAAATTGCAGTTGAGAGCTGCAATCTCTGATACTCAACTACATAAAAATGAAACCTGTGCTTTTGTTTACCAAAATCACAAGATATACACCAGTTCTCCAACTATTCAGATGACAATTCACTCTCCCCTCTGCGTTACACTTCCTTTCAGCAGCCTCATCTTAACCTAGTCACAGTGCAACTGAACATTCATTTCAGCTTTTCACAACTGCAGCCTTAGACAGCAAAACTTCCAGGCAGAGATCACATTTCATGAAGCACTTTTGAAGATCTCTAAACTTTCTGTAAAAGAATCTAGCAGCTAAAAACAACAAACATTAAAGCTTCAACACAACATTTGAAGGAAAAAAACATTAGCACAGTTCAGACAGCACAGTAATGACTTCCACTTAAAACAAACGTAGGAAAAAAACAAACAAAAAACCAACGAAATTCTCCATAAGAACCTCTTGTGTTCTATGCTAACATAACATTATTTTATTAAAAAATTTGCTCTAACAAGTAGTTGTGCTGTTTCCTCCAATCTCTACAAACTTGCATACCTTGGACAGCGATGTTCAACCAAATACTTACCCAGAACCAGGTGGTAAATTCAAATAACAATCAGTCATTTGAAATACCCTGTCTACCCACCTGCATCACAGGTTGATATATACAGTCCACTATTCTACCTTTTCCAAAATTATCTCAATTTTGACTCAGATTGTTGACTGAAGCTTACACTAACTCTGCAACCAAGTACTATCAGAATCCTGCTAGAGTCTCCTGGTTTCAGCTTAGCATGTGTTAATAGCACAGCAATGTTTTGGTGCTATTCAAAACGACTTGTAAGGCACCTTGAAATCTATTATTTAACACATCAGAACCTAAGGTTGTGCTGTACTTCTATCCAGCTGTCTGATTTTAATTTATGACCAGTTTTATAAATAGCCGCACTGAACATATCTGTGTTCAGACAGAGGCTTGTGTGCACACATTAAAAAGCTACAGCTATCAAATATATATTCTATAGCTAGTACTCTAATCAATTCTTCAGAAATCAGGCACAGTCTGATGTGCATATGCATTAAATAGCTGCAGTTATCAAGCATATATCTATAGCTGTCACTCTTCAATCAATTATTTAAAAAACTACTCAAATTCATAGTAAAACAGTAAAAGATAATATAAATATAAATACAGCAAATATTGTTATGAATAAAAATGTTCAATCAAATTTTCATTAAGAAAACTTGTGAAGTAAAGTATTTATGAGTACACTATGCAAATTCAGTCAGCCTGTAATATTATAGACAAGTGATTGCACAAAGATTTATTAGTACAACAAAATTACTCCCATTAGGGGACTGTAACAGCTATCACCGTAAACATCAGTTTAATTACAGTCAGAACATCCTTACAAATCATTTCACAGAGCTTTGAAGAGCTTCCTCTTCAGACAACAGCTTGCTAGGTGCTACAGGAACTAGCAAGCATGTGAACAAAATTACTGTTTATTCAGAAAAATATATGCCTTCATTAACAAGACCAACAACCTTAAACTTTTCACAAGGTAACTGAAAAGCAAAAGGTTATTCAAAGGAGCTTTGGGGAAGCAAATGAAGTAAAACTTTCAAGGTACAAGTCACCCATGATAAACATTTCCAAAAACTAATCTGAATTTCAGTCTACCAATCCAAGAACTGGATAAGACTCTGCACTGGAACACAGAGTTTTAAAAGAGCAAAAGATACCAGCGTATTGCATTCAACTGAAATTACTCCATGATTCAACATTTTTAAAATAGTGTTTGACATTTGATTTTCACTACATTTCTGTGACTTTACAGTGATCACAACAAAGACTACACAGTAAAAACAGTGCGTTGGCTGGTGTTCAAATGAAAAAGGATAGAAAAAATAATGGGAGATATATGAAACTGCCAGGTGAAGAAAGACAAAAAAAAAGGCATGAAAAAGAAAATCACAGAGAATGTTTAGGTGCAACTTTCCCTGGCACACTTTTGCAGGAAATCCCTCTCTGTAAGACAGAAAGAGCACTAAGGTAAGAAGGAGTCAAGGTTTGGTGTTTTTTTCATATAATCTCTTAGAACAAAACTAGTGGCTTTTCCTTGTTTCTCTCAATTTATCTCCAAGACACTACACCACAACAAGTCTTAGCAGTCAAGTACAATCCTGCATCTCACATAGTGTTTTATAACACTTCCATTACTCAGTGTACTGTAAGCTCCTGTAGTGCATTTGCTGAGTCAAATGTTGCTGGGATTCTTTTTTTTTTTTTCTTCCTTTTTTTTTTTTTTTAAATTATTATGTAATTTAGCAGTCCAAATCATGGACTAAAATAAATAACAGGTAGAAGGTCACCACTTTTCAATTGGAGGACAATACAAAAAGAAAACAAGTAGATATAGACAAAAAGGAAAATAAGAAAATAAGAAGATAAGGATGACCTCAACAAGCAGTAATATTGGTGGATTGATATAATAAGTGTTGTTAAAGATTTGCAAGCACCATGCAGGATGAGTGCTGTAGTAGCATACGTAGTTTTGGAAAACATATATGAAGTAAAAACATGATGTGAGACTGTTCTGGGTAGGACAGTAACCACTAATTCAAGGTAAGAGTCCAAAACTATTTCTACGCTCTGAATGAAGCTCTAATACACTCAAACGTTTGGGTGGAGAAATCAAAGAAATGAAAGTGATACAATAATGAGTTTACCTAGCACCTTAAAGAGAATAATAATGAATTCCCTCCAAAAAAATACAAAAAAACAGTTTGATTCTGCTGTTCAAAAAGCACTGCCATTTTGAGATGTATTAATGGACATGTTCTTAGTAGGGATGATCTCAAGATAATCATTCCCCTCTACCTGGAATTGTAAGGGCTCAACTAAGCATCACGACTCCTTTGTGGCATCCCAACTTCCTTGGGCAGAAGATGAGAATACTTACAAAAACTAAATAGTTCAGGAGAACAGATGCATGAATAAAGGTTCAGATAATTGTGGAAATTGTCAGGAAATTGTGGAATTGTCAGGAAAGACAAACGGTGTTCATAAGAATTTTACAGTATGCTAATCTGTTACAAAGATGACAGCGTTGAGTTTTTCTTGGCATTCTCTGAGATAAGAGAGTTATTAAATCAATTTGTATCAAAGAAGATTTAAGAAAGTTATCTGAAAAAAAAAAAAAAGAAAGAAACCAAACACTTGACACATTTCAAGAAAGTTGCGAGACAGAATTAAAAAAGGTAACAACAGATGTGGTAAATTTTTCATCAGAGCAGAAAGGGTACAAAAACTTTCTAGGATCTCTTTGAGCCTGACCTTTCATTGAATGCATTGTGATTAAAAAAAAAAAAAAAGAAAAGAAAAAAGTGATGCCACCAAAGATTAGTGTGGCACAAGCAACAGTCTGGAAAACAAAACGGTAAGACTAAGGGACTGAACATGACACCAGAGTTTAATTGTGAATGGCTAAGAAAGATCTTATCTTTAGACATTTAAGGCAGAAACAAATGGGCAATCACACAAAGCTAAAATAAGTTTAAATCAACAATGACATGAAAGCTACAGAAGTGACTGACCAAGCCTTCACAGAGTGAATTGATCTCACTCTCCCCTCCAGTCATCCTTTTTATCTTCTTTCTCTGTGATGGTCAGAACTATCAGTGGTTCAGACTCATTTTCTGTTATATTTTACCTCCTTCCTATTTTTATTTCTCTGTATTGAGAGGAAATTGGGTGAAAAAAGTGTTTCCTCTCCATTTCAATTATTGTTTTCTTACCTAACTATCTTTGATAACACATACTTCATACAAAAGCAAAGTAGTTCAAACAACAGAAGGTATGAGTCCTACATGCAGTTTCCTTCACTATGTAATACAAATGTGTGAAACTGTAATATCTATTTTCTGGATGTCTTAAAAGAGAAGCTTGTGTCCTAGTGCCTGCACTATGCAGAACCAAAGTAAACCTTTTCATAAAATGAACACATTGCCCATGATATTTTACATTCCCAGAGGCCATCAAAAGGCACAATGACATATAAAATCTGTAATTATGAGTGGCGTGGCATATCACAGTTTGTATGGGGAGGAACAAATTGAAGTTCTGTTAGCCAAGAAATGCAAGGCATGTTAACACAATTAAGGGGGCAGCAGGAAAAGGAAAATAAGTAAACAAATAAATAGAGAAATTAAAGAAAAAAAGGAGAGGCCCCATCATTTCCTGTGCAACAACATATTTCAATTGATATAACCTAAATCCTCAATGGACTCAGGTTGTACCCAAGACATTATTAAAGACTTACAGTTAATCTGATAAACAGTAAAATGCAGCTTTTTGCAAAAACAGGATCTCCTGGGTTTTAGCGATTTATCAAATTAATCTTGCATGGACTTCCTTTGGGTATAATGGATTCAGAATCTCATATTCTTAGACCATCTGCATTTCTGTATGAAACCCCTTATTTCCAATTGATGCTTTTAAAACTGTTAACTCTTCCTGATCTGGTAATACACAAAACAAAAAAACACTGCAATTTTTTTTTTTTTTTGAGGAAGCACTTTTTTTTTTTTTTAAACTACCTCATAACTAAATTACAAATAATAACCTTACTGTTGTGTCAGAAGGTAATAAGAAAGACTGAATGCATTTGCACAAAAAACTGAAGGCTCACAAACCTATTTTAAGTAAGGCCTGTGTGTATCATAAAGTCATATAACACATTTACATTTAGCTTAGTGTTAAAGAACAGCATGCACACTTGACTTTATGTTGAAAACCACAGAAAATACAAGCACAAACATTTTTGTATTTGGTAAAAGATGCACTGCAACACTAGGAAGACTTTTGATGTAAACAACTGTGATTACAAAAATAAATACCCACCACAAAACACATTGATTTTCTAACCACGACAGATACTTGCCAAAGGTTTGCATTACAGCATCTTTTAAGTGACCTAAGCACCACGGTATTACATCTCAGGGAAGTCAAAGCCTGCTGTGGGTTAGCCTTCATCTTACTGACCTTTCGATGCTCTTGGAGATTTGTTGTTGAGGAACATTTCTTATTGCACACTGAACACGTCAGCTTTTTCCTAGAATTTCCTGAAACAGAAACAAAATGCCACCAACATCTTAAAAAGGAAGTGCTAAGAAAGAACCTAAATATTTCTACTGAGCTTGTGACTTTTCATGGGTCATTTCACTGACATAAGATCTTTACATTTGTACCCCATCTTGAAAGTATTCAGTATCAGGAGTTCTCTGTGGGTGTCCAACTAGTCAGTTACTAAAGGAATGTAGATCAGTACGAAGAATGAAGAGCACAATTCACAACTAAGAGCATTTCACTTTAGAACTGAAGAGCTGTATCCTTCCAGAAGCCAATACAACTAATATCTTCAAGAACTGTATACTATAATTTTAATAGAAGTGTTCCTGAAAGGAGTTAGTGCAACAATGACAAAAAAAATTAAAAAAAAAAAAAATCCCAAACAACTATTTCCCAATTTTCTTATTCAAAAAGCATTAAGATTGCTACTGAATAAAATAACATACATTAATGGTGTTTAACTGAACAAGATAGGAAATTTGTATTATACCAGATCATGAATTCAAGTGTAATTTGTAATATAAATCACAGTTCAAACTACAAGTGGTCAGCTACCAAATATATTTTCCTTCCTTTTTCACAGTTGCTTTAAAAATTGACAGAGCATTTAATTGGGTTTCTCTATGATTTAAAATTTATATTAGTAACCTACAAAGTTATGTTATTACAAGGCAAAGACACCACAAACCTGATTATTTGTTTATAATTATACGTTCATGCAAGATATTTCACAGCTTATATGAAAAAATGTTGAAACTGCATTGAACACTAAAAAGAATGAACTCAGAACCAAAGAAAGGCAAGCATTGTTTATTCAAGCACAGAGGAACTGGATCCTAATCAAAATCATCGATGGTTTTCAGCTCTACTTTTCAGACTCTTGGTATTGTGTATCTTTCCCAATCTTGCTGTCCTAAAGAATTAATATGATATGACTTGCTTTTCCACTTTATTTCTTGGGAGGAATTTTCAGAAAGAAAACATTAAGCTTCACCTTACTTTTGTCTTCCCTTCCAAAGTAGTAAGTTTTAATAAATAATTATAATCTCTCTCCCCATCTATTTTAGTACTAAAAAACAGATCACATGTACTGCTCTAGACTATATATTAAAGCCTACATACAAACAAAATAGTCAATTAAAGATGGTTAGTAAAAATCCCTCACCTCAAGATGCATGTAGGGCACTCAAAATTTTGTGTATTAAGTAAATGAGGCAAGAACACCAGCAGTCTGTGGCTGCAAAGCAGTGTGTACACCAAATTTCTACTTTCAAATGCAATCAAAAGGAAATCACTTATTTTTGCTGAAATGGCCAAAGAATAAATCACCCAGGACACCAGGAATTGCCCCTGAATAAAGGAACTCTTCTTCTTCTGGGTTCACTTAAAAACAATGATGTCATAGTTAACTACATCCGCTTAGTTGGCACACAATACAAGCAGATAAATTATTCCTTTTGTTTACTAACATGAGAGGTTAAAAAGAAGGTCTTTTGTCTAACTGAAACTATAACATATCTTCCTAACTGGCATTTTTTCCATCCATTGATGCCAACAGTGTGCATGAATGTAAACATGGCAAATTTAAAAGGAACATTTCATACCACTTCAGGAAAAGTAATTTCTCATGCAAAAGTACAGACTTTCAAATGACACTGATAACAAGACATATTCATTATTTATGTTGTTAAAATAAAACTACTTTTTGAAAATTCAATGCAAATACACACACAACATTTTGCTAAAACATGTTGAAATGACTTCTAATCTTAAATGGCCCATGGGGGCTGTAACTAGAAACATTAGCATTTCTAAGCCCTCTGAGACTAGCAAAACGTGTCTCAGTCTTCATTGTTTCCATACTGTTGATGATTGAAAAGATTAAAACTAAAGCAGCTAAACTGGAAAACAAAGGTTATGTATTTCATCTTGATATATCATAGCCTGCTGTTAATGGAGGAATTTGGATAGAATGTTATTCATTGCTAAACTATTTTGCTGCCCACAGTTTTATTTCCAAGTAAAGAATTTTATTTCCAACAAATATTTGTACAAAGAAATGAAAGAATCTAATAGCAGGCTTCAAGAACATATAGGATTTCAAAGACTTTGAATGTAAACTCAGTATGCCTAGCTCAGGTCATACTACCACAATGGATCAGAGGACTGAAAGAGAAATAATCATGAGCAAAGCTGCCTATGCATAGTGAGCAGACTGTGAAAACATAATATAAGGTATGTTTCTCACTTCATTATACCACGTCAATCAGTTCAACACTTTGACTCATAGTATTACATAAGTACTTCATCTCATAACTACATTTGCTATTGTAAAATTTAAGTATTGGCATATGCTGATGCACATATAAATATGGGAACTTAATACCTTAACTTACAAGAGCATTCAGAAGAGGAAGGTGATAATGAATATCTATGTCTCTGTTCATAGCTTTGCATAATGAACTACATATGTAGCAGTCCTTTCTACTTTCCCTTGCCTCCAGGTTTTGCAAGGCGTGAAGGAATACTAGAAATCTCCCTCAACAATAGTAGGCTATTTTCCCTCCTGTATTGACACCAGTTGTGATTTCTATTCACTCCCAAATGGTAAAATAAAAGCTCTGCTCACTATATAGGTGGAAATAAAATATCCTCCAGGCACCTGACCTCAGTCATGTCTGGACTGATCATACAAGAGAGTAATTGTGGGATTTGTATACCTGTATATAACTAACCGAAGTTGAGCCTAAACATAACATTCACAGCTGAAAAAATACCTTACTGACAACAATAAATTAAAAAAAAAAGTAGATAAACTTCTATAAAAATTGTTATGGAAGGGCTTCTGTACACTGTAAGAGTTTGGCAGAAGAAAGAGACTTCATGTAATGAAAATCTTACAAAGCATCTCAGTGTTCTCATCAAGTAAAGACTGTTTTCTTCACACTGTAGTATTCTACTGTCCCCATACATACTGATCTGCCAGTAACACTGAGAGGGGACATGCAGAGAGAGCAGAGTGACAGTTGAGATCTGCATTGTGGACCTGAAAGAAGCATTTTGCCCTTTCATGAAAACAGACTGGTGTTTGATTGAAAAGTATTGATTCACAGTGCACAGATATAAAACAGCTAGGGCCTAGAGGGACTAGCCGATTGCCTGATTTGGCTTCCTGTACAACAGAGGCTATAGAATTTCCTGCAATATCCTCATCAAGTCTAACCATTTGTGAAGCATGTCTTCCAGAAAGACATCCCATTGTGTCCTGAAAATAGCAAAAGATCAAGAACTCACAGCTTCCTGTAGTCATTTGTACCACTGATTTTGATTTTCCTCACTACTGAAATGTTGCGCTTCATCTGACACTTGTCTAATTCAAACTTACCCAAATTCCCTTACATTTCCTGCAGCAACTAATGATTCATCTGGTATACAGTAATTTCTCCCTGGGTGAGAAGGAATACTTTATCCTTGCAATTAGTTACTACTTAATTTTCTTTCTGATACAAATGAATCCATTAAAAAAGAAACCAAAGACAATGGTGACTTGGATTTGCACATTTAAGGCTAGCAACGTGTTAGAACTTTTTTGGTTTTTATGTTTTTGCCAAAGAAACATTAAATTCTTTCTTACCACTATGAACATTTTCTTTATGTTTTTTCAGGGCATCCTTACTCTTGAACCTCTTCCCGCAGCTATCTGCCTTGCATATGAATCTGGCATCCCCTCTGCATGCCTCCTTGTGCTGTTCATAACTATATGGGATAACCAGCAAATAAAAACAACACATGAAGCAGTATATGCAGAAACTAGACATATAGTAAGTACTCTGAGCTCTAGACATGCTGCACTGCAGAGTTCCAAGGCCCCCTCATGCATTACTTACAGCAAATAAGAATGAAAGCATTTGACTTCTTTCATTGTTAGGATTCACATACATTAACAAGCTTGAAAGCTAACATGCAAAGGAAGGCCAGCAATGGTATGACAGCAGTCCAGTAACTTGGACACAAAACCTCGATTCTGAGCTGAAGGAAGTATTGCAAACAGAACACTGAAAACTTCTTGAAGAGTCTCCTGGGTTGATATTCTCTGTGCACTGAAGTACACTAAAGAAAAAAATAAATAAAATAAAAGTAAGGGGACCATTTTACAACTTACACAGAATTGAAGCAGCAATAGATCAAAATACAAACATTTTGGTATGTGAGTAACCAGTGCAACATGAGAGGTATCCTGGAATTTAGGGAGACTAATCAAATGCATGAACATCAAGAGTTGTAGTCCTATTGCTGTATCCTTATAATTTTACTCTGCATAATATAAAGATTTATTTAACCAGCTATACAATACAAATCCAACTCCCACTTCAGACTGGGCAAAACATGTCTATATTCAATTTAAAAAAATATTTAAATATCTATTAGATAACTTAAATATTTCTCTACTATGTTTTTTTTAACTATTTCCATGAAGGAACATAGAGCTCATAAAGAACTACCAGTTTAACAAACATTATTACTATTCAGACATAAGTCTTGTAATACACAATGCAATATGAGTCTCTTTCTGACATGAATTAGATTAAATTAACTACTTATAACAAGATATTTGGACATCCAATGTACTACTATAATTGAATATATAATAAAAAGTAATATAACTATTTTATTGCAAGCAAATTTATATACATAAGCAAGAAAAGAAAAAAAATGGTTATATTTTTGTATAAAAGCATGTCAGACTACCTATCTGCTATCTTCTATGTTTTTTTTTTTCATCCAAATATTTAATTAAATCAAAATAAAGTATAGTTTTCCTTTCTATTTCTTTTTAGAATATCGTTCATTTTTTTTTCTAAATCTCATTCTAATTCAGTAATGGCAATTCCAGCTATAACAGACCTCCTACACTATTAAATAACCCACTCGAGATGGAGATCAAGGGCTTTGCACCAATCAGTAGCTTTAATTGGGCTTACAGTATATGATTTTAAAATATTAAAAAGTAGTGACATTTTTTTATTCAAATTGAAGTCTTCAACAAATACAAGAAACTAAGGAATTTATTAGAAGAATGAGAATACAAATACAAAGGCATAAAAATTGTTGTGATTAAGCCAAAGGATATAAACAATTGAATGAAAAGGAACTCTGAAAAACATTCTTGTTTCTACTTACTGTCTTTGTAGAGCTTGTTTAACAGGGAACTTCTTTCCACAGTTTCGGCACTTAAATTCCTTTTCCTCACTGGGTTTTTGGTGCAACGTCTGAAGATGTTCAGCTAGAATCTCCTGGCTTGCAAAACTGGACTCACAGTTTGGGCATGCATGGTCCTCTTTACAAGTGAGGGGATCTGAATGATTGGAGGAGAAAACAATAATACTTTCAAGAATATTTTGGTTATGTTAAGAGATACTCCTTTATAGAAACTGATTATGCACAACAGCGTCATGAAATTCACAAGAGACTATGTCTTTCAACGGACTGAAAAACCAAAATGCCAGAAAAAAAGAAAATAAAAAAAAGAATAGGCATTTAATGCCAATACTTAAGCAAATTATGCTCTTTCCTACTTAAGGCATCTGACAACAGTAAAGATTTTGACCACAGGTTTAGCTGTGCACCCTTATTCACTTCAGCAGTTGTTTAAAGACTTCTTCATATTACAAAATAAAGGTCTAATACGAGTTGATTCTCCTGTTATGCAGGCTCTAGGAGGGGCAGAGACTACCATCTCTGTAGACTGCTTAGATACAATGCAGACATACTTTTCTGAGTTAGTGATTCTAGATTCACTTTGAACCAGGATGCAAGACAAATCTATTTTAAGCAAATTCTGTTTAAAGAAAACAAAAAGACTTCACATTAACAACCTTTTCCTTACAGGGAACTGTCTCACATCCTCTCCCATTATTTTTGTGAGCAAATACAGAATACAAATCTATATAGCTTGGAACAAACATTATCACTTCTAATCCTGGCATACTATGACTACATCAAAGTTCCAAGTGAGACTGATTCAAAATATTAAAAAGACAAGCTTGCAGTTACCATAATATTTAAAAAGTTTATAAAAGTTTTACAATTAGCACAAGACATCTTACAAAGCCATCTGTGAAAGTGACATAAGAAATAATTGCACTATATTAGTTCTGTGTTAAGAGGAAAACTTGCATAATGTAATGCATCTTAGCTGATGTTAGTTGCAAGAGGACAGAATCAATCACGGATGGACAACGTTTGCCCATACTCTTTTCAGTATGACACTCATGTGACACAGTAGGCAACAGACCTACCCTACCTGCCCTTCCTCTAACAAGCAAATTCAGGGTCATCATATCCCATCAACTTCTCGGCATCATGAATGAAACTGCTTATAACTCCTCCTGCCACAGATACCACTTATTTTCAACTCTCCAAATCTGTACAGATTTACATTACCTAACAAGATTTTCTTCTTCCAAAAGGAAGATGCTTAGTTAACTGAATACAATTATAGCAAATCAGCTATGTAAAATCTCAGCTCGTTTACACTGTCTACTTTCTGAGCTAGTCTTCAGTACAAGAATACTTCAGAGTTACAGCCTTGCACATTTTTGAAACCATCTTGCCTCCTTTCTTGCATACTAGTATTAATAGCGGTATTATACTCAATATTTATTATCAAGGGCTTCTTAGATTTTTAATCTTATTAGCCAATCTGCAACATTACACTACCTATGACTATATTTTAAGCTCCCAAGCTATACTAGTTTTCACATATTGCTCACCTGCAATCTTTTCACTAGCTGGTTGCACTTCTTTATTGTTGCCACTGTCTTCATCTTCCTGAATAACAGTTACTTCCTCCTCATCCTCCTCCTCTTCTTCCATGTCACTGTCCAAGTAACCAATCAGAAGTTCTGTGTCTGTTTCAATATCGTCCACGGCAAGATAGAAAATATTTTCTCCTTCCTGTTGCAAACCGTAAGTAGAACAAGAATAAATAATTACTTTAGAAAAAGTAAAATTTAAAGTCAAGTCTGGGACCCTAGAACTATGACAGGACTGGCTTAATTCCCCAGAGGGCACAAAGCTGGAACACCCACCTAGGATTTCTTTCCCAGCATGGTTGCATGGATAAGGTGCTTTTGTGATTCAGAAATATGTTCTGTCTCACCTAGGAAGCTTTTTCAATTAGGACTGTAGTCTTGACCAAGGTAAAAAAGCTGGTGCCGAAATTGCCCTCTCTTGCCACACTCTTCCTAACAAGAACTTCAGAGTTTGAAAATGAAAAGTCCAAATATTAGAAAAATAATTCAATTTGAATAATGAATAAGCTTTAGCTAGGTCCTCTGTTGGATAGGATACGTGAGTTAGAATCCAGCTTTCAGGAGCATGTTTACCTACTGCTTTTTATGGTATTTCCAAGATTCCCAGCTCACTTCGTGAACAGATCTTCAACCCTTGTCAGTTATCCTCACTATCAGTTTAGCAAGAACTTCTATTAAAATAATGTACTTTAAACCATCTCATCAAAACCCTCTGCTGGTTTAAATTACAGAAGACAAGCCCAGATTCCACATGAAAGAACAAACTACATAATAATAAGATGCAAAATCTTCACCAAAATGAACAAATAAGCTTTCAAACAGATACATAACCCAACATCTTTATTCTTCAACAGTGTTTAATTAATGTTACCAAGGTAGATTGGGATGGAAGCAGTAGCAAAAACAGTTGTATTCCTAAGCTGATATATAGAGCTGCTTTTTTTGGTGTATATGAACCAACTGTGTTGGGTGTTACTCAAAGCACCAAAAGTAGAACCATGTTTATGCAACAAAATTTTCCAATAGTACCATAAATCTTAAAGCTTATTTGATTTACATCCAGGGAAGTTAATTGCAGCTTCTTTAATGTACATTTAGCTGTAGACTTTATAACAAGCCTCACAGCACAGAAGATAATGTTTTTTAATTCTCATAATATATTGAGATTAATTTAAACTGTCAACAGAGATGTAGGGTTCCTCTTATTTAGAAGGTCTGTTAAACATTACAGATGTTATTGTCACACAACAGTGAAACCTATTTAATTCAATGGACTCATAGGTGCTGCTGCCTTCCAGGATTCACCACTTCTTTTCTCATCTCACCAATCACATTTGAAATCAAAACTAATTATGTGCTTTTTCAAGATACATTGCACAGTCCACGTATCTAACAGCACATTACTAACTTATTTGTACATCTAAGAGTGGCTGTTTTCCACGACTCTGTCAATAATGTCAGAATACTTAAATTTACAAATAATCTCCTGCAACTCTAATGTGGGGAAAGATAAAAGGTCTGCCTATACTAAGCCTCCATATAGGATAAGCATCCCTGCCCATGCCAATCTTATTAGAAATCAAGACAATCTTATAAATGCATGCATAAGCTTACATCAATTATTAACTTCTCTTAAATTTTTAATTTTTTGATACGTATCACAGGCAAAAATAGTGTCCCAGAACTTATGAATTACAGAAGCAATAGTGCACCTTTCAGTTACATCACATGACACATCTTACACCACAAAGTAAATCTAGAAGTATAGCAACCAGAACTAAGGACTTTTTCATAATCTATACCAAATGCATGAATCCTAGCAATCAAGATCTTATCAATATTGCTGCATCCTCACCACCTCTCTACCTCCCCAGTGTACATCTGGGACATCTTTTACAGTATATCAAAGGCATCATGGTTCTGTCCTGTTGGCGTACCTTTGGTCAATTAAAAAATATAACAAAGAAGTATTAATGACTCTCAATCAGCTTCAGTTCTAACCCAACCTAAATCACAGCTCAAGTTCATTCTCATTCTTCCTCCAAAGCTAATTTGTTCAGCTTTTCAATCTATGCTAATTGTCATGTATTTGGAGTGATACTTAATAGACGTATCCCCACTGTAGAAGCTCCTCAGGCTGCAGTGAGAGTTCTCCAGAAACCACCAAGGAATTTAAATCTCTCCCTCCACCAGCATATTTATCTATATGCACAAATACAGGGTGGAAGAAGTAAAAAAATCATTCAAAAAATGTTAATAGCTCTTCAATTTACTAACAACATCTGTGTTTTGTAGTAGAGGAAGCTGGCAGGAAACAAGGGCCAGCAAGCACTGACAGCACACCATACTGTTTCATGCAAGAAGCATAAGACAGTTGCATCACAGAATCATAGATTGACTTAAGCTTTAAGGGACCTTAAAAATCATCTGATTCTACCTCCCATGCCATAGGCAGGGTTGCCAACTATCATATCAAGCAGTAGATCAGGTTGCTCAGGGTCCCAACCAACTTGGCTTTGAACACTCCAGGGATGGGGCATCTACAGCTTCTCTTCTGGGTAACGTATTCCAGTGTGTCACTGCTCTCTGAGTAAAGAATTTCCTCCTAACAACTAACCTAAATCTCCCATCTTTTAGTTTAAAGCAATTCTGCATTTACTATCACTATCTGTTCATGTCTTCCTCTTGCTTATCCTCAAGTACTGGAAGGCTGCAATGAGGTCTCCTTGGAGTCTTTTATACTCCAAGCTAAACAAGCTCAGCACCCCTAACCTTTTTTCGTAACAGAGGTGCTCCAGCCCTCTGATCATTTTCATGATCCTCCTCTGTACCCACTCCAACAACTGTACATTTTTCTTGCACTGGGGGCCCCAAATCTAAACACATTACTCCAGATGAGAAGAGGGCAGAGTAGAGGGGGACAATCATCTATCTCTCTCCCTGCTGCCACCACTCTTTGTTGATGCAGCCCGAAATACAGTGGGCCTTTGGGGCTGCAAGAACACACTCCTGGCTCATGTTCAGCTTTTTTCCAGCAGGACCCCCAAGTCCACAGGTCTTCTTTCAGTGAATTCTTCTCCCAGTCTGTACACAAATCTGCAATTGCTGCAACCTTGCACTTAGCCTTAGTGAGTCTCATTAGATTCACATGGACTCACTTCTCAAGTCTGCATATATGATCACTTCCTCAAAGCTGAAAACACAGTGACCACAATCACTGCTCTTAAAGCAGTGTTAGTTGGAGTTGGCTTTCCTCCACATCCAATTTCCTGCATGGAAGCTCTTCAGCCTCCTTGTAATGCCAGTTCTCCTTTGGTAGCTCTTCAAAAAAGAAAAATAAAATAAAATAAAATAAAATAAAATAAAATAAAATAAAATAACTCGCACACCCTCTTCCTTGAGCAGGTTCAAGCAGATTCAAGGCTTTATGCTTGCCAGAGTACAACCAGGCAAGGTCTGTGAGGGCAGAAACTCCAAGACAGCAAATGGGTGGAGGTGATTTTATGGAGAGATTAGCAGAGGAAGACAAAGCTACAAGTTCAGACACAGGAAAGGTCAAAAAAGTACTAGGAAAGCACAATCAAAATAACAACACCTTCCAGTAGAAAGAGTGGATCAGCTGCCTCTGAAAGTGCTTGGGTGAAACAAGAGCCTTGCAAAGTTGCTGCTGGGGACCTGGTTTCCCCCACCCCCCCAACCAAGGAAGGGAAAATGGATGACAAAAAGACCAGAAGAAGCTTTTCAGGTTTCACAATTGTTCATATACTATCAAAGGCTCAACTGTTTAAAGCACATAGCCCTATCCCACACAACCTAATCCTAAGCATGCAGCACGGATGTGGCTCTCATCAGTCAGGAAGCAGATAGATCCCAGACAGACTTCTCTTCAAAAATGGGTAATGGAACAGTTAGTCCAGGAGCCTAGTCAAAATCTAATCTGAAATATAGCACTTGAATCAAATGCAAAGGAAACACAGGAACCTCAGCTTTATCTGCTGATTTTGCTCTATTACTTGTTAAGGCAGACAATCTTTGAGACCTCAAACAGAGACTGAACAGAAAATTAGATTAAAATAGTATGGTAATTCCTACATTTCTCCTGTACTCTTATCCCATTCTGCAGTTCTGAGTGCTTAACCAATCTGGTGGCCTTCTATGATGGATTGACAGCATTGGTGGACAAGGGAAAGGCGATTGATGTCATTTACCTGGACTTGAGCAAGGTGTTTGACATGGTCCCCCACCACATCCTTATCTTCAAATTGGAGGGATGTGGATTTGATGGGTGGACCACTCGATGGATAAGAAATTGGCTGAAAAGCTGCACACAGAGGGTGTTCATCAACGTCCAGGTGGAGGCCAGTAATGAGCGTTGTCCCTCAGGGGTCTGTCTTGGAACCAGTGCTCTTTAACTTCTTTATCAATGACATCAGTGATGAAATTGAGTGCACCCTCAGCTGATGACACCAAGCGGAGTGGTGTGGTTGACACAGTGGAAGGATGGGATGCCATTCAGAGGGACCTCAACAGGTTTGAAAGGTGGCCCGGGTGAACCTAATGACGTTCAACACAACAAAGTGCAAGGGGCAGAGGAATCCCAGGCATTTACACAGACTGGAAGGAGCAATCCTTGAAAGCAGCCCTGTAGAGAAAGACCTCGGGGTCTTGATGGAAGAAAAGCTTAACAAGAGCCAGCCACATGCTCTTTCGGCTCAAAAAGCAAATGGTATCCTGAGCTCCATCAGAAGAGGGGTGGCCAGCAGGGACAAGGAGGTGATTGTCCCCCTCTACTTGGCTCTTCTGAGGCCTCATCTGGAATACTGTGTCCAGGTTTGGAATCCCCTGTACAAGAAGGACAGAGAGCTGTTGGAGAGGGTCCAGAGGAGAGCCACAAAGATGATCAGAGAGCTGGAGCACCTCCTCTACAAAGACAGGCTGAGGAAGCTGGGCTTGTCCTGGAGAAAAGAAGGCTGTGGAGTGACCTCATTGCAGCCTTTCAGTGCCTAAAGGGAGCTTACAAGCAGGAAGGGAGTCAACTCTTTACAAGAGTAGATAATGGCGGGACAAGGGAAAGTGGTTTTAAGTTGAGGGAGGGAAGATTTTGGTTGGAGGTCAGGGGAAAGTTCTTTACAGAGAGAGTGG